TGGGGAGTGTTCAGGAGTTTGTTTGTTCTTGCTTAATATTAGTATCAGTGATGTGTTCAATACACTCGGAACAAGTCATGATAATCAAACAGAAGATGAAGATACATCTAAAACTCACCAAACTAGTTAGAAGAAGAAGACTCTGTCGTAGCCCAACTTGATCCCCCCTTGCGTAGGTCTTCGTGTATCTCTCGACCTTCCTCTAGGCATCAAGATTTTGGGTCTAGGACGTTGTGCCTACCCCACTTGCTAGGTCGGGCCAACCTTGACCAGGGCTTCCTGATCCAATATGCTTTAAGATGTATCCATACCTAGAACTGACGCAGATAGGGTTCATGTTATTTAGACATGGACATGACCTAGGTCAGGTTCAAAGTCATGTAGACATGGACTTGACCCGACCAGACCCACCCGGTTCAATATTTATTGTCAGATCCAAATTCTGGTTTGATCAACCCAACCCAATTATCATCCCACAGGGCCTTATTTTTAAGGGCTAGGCTGGACTGGGGTGCCCGACCCATGCCAACTGTAAGAAAATCCTTATGATTTGTGAACCAATAAGCTTAAATAAGTGGATTCATTTAATAATCTCTAAGGAAAGTATTCCGTCTACACATGGTGTGAATGTTCCAACAGTTCAGATCGAACAAGGGCTTGTCCTTGAGGGGCAAAAGTTCATTTGGATTTTTATTGTTTTATTTTTATTTTACCAATTCTTTTTACCTAAAAATTGGGCTTAGATTTATTTTTGATAGGCATAACAAATTAAAAAGAAAATAATATTTTGAATAAAAAAAGACCAAAATACTCCTCCATATTTCAAAGATATTTTGTTCAACTTTAGTTGAAATAAATTTTTTATCTATTGGGTCTTAAATTGATTTATTTATCCCCAATTTTTATTAGAAAAATATGTAGAGAGATCATTTACTTTTAGTATAAAGAGGTCACAATCATTCATGTCCATCAAATGTTAAATCGAATAGTTGTAAGTGTGTATCATTGACCGGACTCGAAATTTAAGAAAAGAATTCTCAAACTTCGAGATGCATCCCAAGCCATCCAATTCGATATCTAATGGCCATGAGTGATCAAGAGCTCCTTGTAGCAATAATAAATTGTCATAGTACAAAATCCCATATTTATCTCAATAAGATTTATAAAACAAAAACAAAAATTTAAAAATAAAACTACTTTATAGCCCTTGAATAAGGTTGTGTTCAATACATGTGCGTATCCTTCAAGCCTCCATGGATTACAATGCCATCCTAATATTTAATTGGGGTACCTTATCATTTGTACCAAGTTCAATATCATTTGTCCAATGCTCGGATAAAAATCGAATGACACATACAATCTACACCATCCAATACCATCAAGGACCGTGTGGGAACCTTAAAATGATGTCGCATAACACCTGCATGTTTGCTTTGAAATCTCAAAAGGAAGTAAATCAAGTTTTTTTTTTTTTGTTCTTTTTCCTCTTCTGAAAAAAGATCTGTTTGGAAATATTTTTTCTAAGGCATCAATTTCGAAGGCAAGTTCTAAGGGCTGAGACAATATCAAGTTCGATGGAAGTTTTTTTGGGCTAGAATGTAGAGATGAAAACTCTTCGTGGTGGACCAGAGGGCTCCGGTAGAGGAGCAAATCAGATTTTTCTTATTTGCTTTGAAATTTTTCGACTTCAAATCTGAGGTTGGCGAGCTCAGACCTAAGCCGAGGAGCATACATGTTAAAATACTATGTTAGAATTTGTGGCAGCATAGAATGGAGAGAGAACACAACATTACGAGGAGCATACATGTTAAAATATAATGTTAGAATTTGTGGGAGCATAGAATGGAGAGAGAACACAATATTTACGAATGGAGAGAGAACACAACATTACAAGGAGCATACATATTAAAATACCATGTTAGAATTTGTAGGAGCATAGAATGGAGAGAGAACACAACATTTACGAATGGAGAGAGAACACAACATTTACGTGGTTTAGGCCAAAGCCTTACGTCCCCAACCGGCTATATCTTCATTACACTGGATTAATTTTTACATTAAGAAGTATCTCTATATCTATAGAGGACAATCACACAATTCATTATACTGAATTAATCTTTACATTAAGAAGTATCTCTATATTTATAGAGGACAATTACACAATTAGAAGAGATAATTATGGTATGATAACTTACCTATATATAGAGGATAATCACACAATTAGAAGAGATAATTATGATATGATAACTGATGAACAAGTAACTTAGTCTCTATCTTCTAGATATCTAACCTTACATCTATATCAATATGAATCCAAGATATCTATATCCCAACAAACTTAAGTAGAAATAGAAACTCAGGCGAATTGTAGGGAAAGAAAGGGAAATTTATAAAAGGCTTTATGAAAATAAAGTGAAATTTCACCTCTAATTCCAGTTTAGAAAGCAATTTGGGTATCAAATATTTCCATGGTGGCTTTAAAATCAAATTTCAACATCAACTATAAAATTTGAAGCTAAAAAAATAGTACAGAACTTAAGGATCCGTGAACACTTATTTCTAGGGTGAAATCAATAGTCTAGATAATGTGATACAATGTACACTATTTTTAAGGTTCAAAGTTCTAATTTTTTTTCACAACATAATAGTCAAGGTCGAAGGTTCAAAGTTCTAATTTTTTTTCACAACATAATAGTCAAGGTCGAGATGGTTGGTTTGAAGGTTTCCAAAGTCAGAACTGTAATGTTTTATGAGTTTTGAAATGAGGTTTGATTTATTTTGACAGAACTGCAGCTCTATCAAAACATTTTCCTTTATCGAAACACACATTACTTTTCAACTGTTCAGCGTTTTGCCTTTTCTCTAGTATCCCGACTCAAAAGTATGTTCAATTTGATGGTCTATTTTAAAATTAAATAAAAAATACAGTTAAAATATTAAATAGTTAATATCCTAATTGTATTTTGATAAATTCCCTTTAGGAAATAAAGATTGCTCGGACTTGGGCCGAGTATTTTGTATAATTTTTTTTAACTTTTTTTTGCTACTACATTACTCAACTCTACTCAAGCCGAGTTACTCAAACTCGGGCAGAGTACTTGGATTGAGAATGGGTCAAATACTCGCCCCAAGTAGTGTTCCCGAATAGTAGTTGAGATAAAGCTCTGATGAAGATGCATGAGCATATTATTTTTATTTTTACTTTTTTAATGTTGGTTCTGGAGGTTACATTCTTAAAAATTTAAGATCCTAAAATTGTTAGCATTCTAAAGTTTAACTCGAGGAATCATGCTCCAGCAGGCATATAATCTTTAGACTTTTTGGTTGGGATGGATTTCTATGAGCCAGCCGACTCATACCATGCATATGCAAGCCTCAACTTAATCGTATCTTAAAAATAGATTTTTAATCAAAAAATTTAAGGAGTCGTGATCGCAATTAAGATGATCATGAATATGAAGAAA